AGGATAAGCACAGAGATGAGTCCATTGTCAGAGGCCATAAGAAGATCATTTGTAACCTAAAGCTGTTTCTGTGCTGTGAGGAGCTCTGAAACTCTTCAAATAAACCTTTCCTTTGCAGATGATAAGTTAGCTGTTTTACCACTACTCCTTCAGGAATTTTTGAGATAAAAGGAAAGACAGCCAGGTCAAGTGATGGCTCTTTAAGTAATGGTTTTACTACTGCCAGTCCGAATGCCTAATCAGCATTCACACTAATTAATAGTTAAGGTTAAAGGAATGCTTGGCTCAGAGGAGTCAAGAGGCGTACCCAGTGAAGATGTAAAAACACTTCTGTGTGAGTAGAGTTCAGGTAGCTGTTTGGCACAAGGCATTGGAGCATATGCCTGAATTATATCCTTAAATAATGTAAAGAACAATATGAAGTTACTACAGCTCTGTTCTTTCTTTCAGTCTCCTTTCCCCGGCGACGATGAGGAAGAAGTGTTTGATAGCATTGTCAATGATGATGTGCGCTACCCCCGCCTCCTTTCTCCTAACTCTGCATCCCTCATTCAGAAGGTTGGCTCCCAGACTAAGGAAACTGAATTCTCCTGATGAGGAACATTTTGTGACCTCTTCAATTCTATTCACACCTTTAATAATGGAGTAGTGCTCATAATCTAAACTGTCTGTTGAGCTTATCAGCACATTTGAATTCTCTTTATATGATCTGAATATTCTAAATGCTGTTGACCTAGGCTACTACGTCACCTTCTTTCTCCCGCCTGTGTTTCAGCTGCTGCAGAAAAATCCTGAGTTGAGACTGGGAGCAGGAGAAGAGGATGCCTTGGAGATCAAAAGGCACAAATTTTATGAGGTCAGTGTCCAGTTATTGTAGCTGCTTCAGCTGAAGTCACTGAAGTACCCAGTACGAGTATGAGATGAAATAGTGGAAGGACAGGTGCTGAGTAAAAGCATCTGAAAAGTAAGGAATCACAAAGAGCTGCACAAGTGAACAGAATAAAAAATATGAGAAAATTAAATACCGCAGTTCCAATACAAAATTAGGTTAAGACGGTAGTCTCAACAAAGACTTGTCAGGTTAAAGTAAAAGGTTTTAACTGCTTTTTAAGCAGAAGTCTAGAGTCAGCTAACCACATCAGTGGAAGATTATTTCAAAGTCTCTGTGTCCCCCAGTCTTTAAACTTCTATAAGGAACATCTAACAGATTCTGAGTCTGTGGCTGAAGACTGTGAGCAGCAGTGTGTTTAAGCAGCTGGGATAAATGGCCTACGGCCTGCCTGTTTACTGTTCTGTCGTATAAGAAACTGAAAATTAATCCTAGGATCTAGTGAGAGTCTGTATAAAGAATATAAAAGAGGAGAAATGTGAGTTTGTTTGGAGTCATGGAAGAGATTATCTAGGCATTTTAGTAATCATGCAATCGCACAAATGAATGATTTTGTCGAGTTCAGCCAAGGTGACTGTATGTCAATTTAGAAATGCTTCTTAAATGAAAGAAACAGAAATGTAAAATATATTTTACATGTTCTCCAGAAATCACAATTCTGGAATTTGCATTTGAAGAAGCAAAAGCCTGACTGATTTTAGGACATAATTCAGGAGGAGCTATAACCACAGTGTCAGTCTTGTTGCCGTTTAGAACAAGGTAACAGATAATCTGGATTAAACAGTGGACTAGGGAGGACCACCTATCCAGCTTCGAGCCTTGAAAGGCATATATACTGTAGCTGAATGCCATCGTCAAAGACATGAACAAAATGTCGAGTAAAAGATGACTCATTGTGGAACCCCACAATGTTATGTTCAAGGATAACTTCTTCATCCTAACAGAGAAAGTCCTTGTAGATAAGAAGAAGGGAAACCAATCGAATGTAGAGCTAGAGATGCCAGCCAGAACCTTAAATTTATTAAGTAAAACTTTATGGTCAACAGTATCAAAGGTTGCACTGAGGTCAAATAGAAAGAGTATAAAACAAGTTCCTGTATCAGAAGCCATCAAAAGATCATAACAGAGCTTCAAAAATGGAGTCCTGCTTTTAAGTTTAAAAATCTGCCATTTGGAGGAAATGCTAAAAGATCTGAATAGATGTTCTTCAAGTGTTTCTTCATAATTTGGTAACAGCTACCAATGGATTAGGTTTCTTCAGTAAAGCAGTTATTTCAGGTCGTTTTGTATAGGAGGGAACACTGCCTTGCCTCAGTGAACTGAAAACAAAGATGTACTAATGGTGGTGGACGTCTCAAATAGGATGTAAAGAAGGTAATCATTGAGTCATTAAGTGTAATTAGAGAAAAAGACATAAATGATTCAGGGCACTGAGAATCATCCTCATTAGAACAGGGTGGAGGAGAAACAGTGCTATTAACAGTATCAAATAATAACCTGGGATAATTGTTATTACAATTTTTGCGATTATTTAAATTCGATTTTTCAAAATATTCACAGTGCACAACCAAACCCACTGTCATCCACAATCATTATTAATTTAAATATTATTAGTTTCGACAGGAATGATGAAGAGCACAAGTTTGATTATTTAACCAGTGAGCAAGGAACAACAGTGTGACTGGCTTTGTAGAGAGTGACCTGAGCATTGTTGTATGGTCTTGACCTTGTGATACAAAGCGCCTTGAAGCAATGGTTGTTGGGATTTGGTGCTATATATATAAATACAGTTGATTTGAATTGAGGGAAAGGAATTCAACATTTAATTCAATCCAGTTTTATTTATATGACAAATCACAGCAAAATTCACCGTAAGGTGCTTTATATTGTAAGGTAAAGACTCTGTTGGGATTTTCCTCTGGATTATTTCAATCACGTGATCCCCTTTGAGCAAGCGTTTGGTGACAGTGGGAAGGAAAAAGTCCCTTTTTAACAGGAAGAAACCTTGGCAGAACCAGGGTTAGGCAGGTATGGCCATCTACCGCAACTAGTTGCAGGTTGTGATTATCATGAGAAGTTGAAAAATTAGTCTGTGTCTGTGTGGGTTCTCTTTCATCCAGGTCAAGGTAGTTAAAAAAAAAAAAGGTGGATGCCAAATTAAAATACCATACAAGGGTTACATTTGTGTACTTTTAATCGCAGCCATCTCAAAGTACATGTAACAGCTTGAGGAGATCATGTGACATAAAAATCCCTTTTTAAAAATATCAGCAGTTGTGCCTTGTTGGCCAGAAATCCTAGGTGCACGTAAAAATAAACACTCTATATGAGATAAACAAGGCACAAAAAGTAAAGAAATTTGTGTTTGGTTGATTATTTCTTTTTTTGTAACAATTCTTCTACACTTGGAAAGTCTATTTATGTGTAAGGAAATGTATTTGTATTTGTGAAGGTTCCCAGTCATCCAAGTCATGGTAATCTAAGGAACTTGGGAAGAAAAGCGACCAGACTTCTTTAACTTTTGTCTTTAAGACAAGCTCCTTAGATCATTTGTGGCTTGAGCAGTAGAGTTCAGTATGTGGGTTGCACCCATGGAAAACCCACCAAATCTTCTCTGCCAATGCCAAACAGCTTATTCTGCTATTGACCCTTTGGTGTCGTTTGTTGGATTGGATGATTGAAGTCTGAAGAAACAGGAAATATTTGGCAATTTAACAATTTATTGATTTAGTTTCAATTTTTTCATGAGTGCAACCCACACACAATTTAAAGGGAAATAAACCGGCATTCCAACGGTTTAACATTTTTACAACAAAGAAATAATCGACCAAACATAAATGTCAGAATGTTTTGGGCATTAATTGCCATCACTTTAGTGGAGATACAGAAGGGTCTGATGTTGTGTCCCAAAGTAATTGTCTGCCAAAAAGTGATTGGTTTTTAAATGCCTAATATATTTGCTTATACTGGTAAATGGCCTGCAGACAACAAATTTTCCAAAGGAGTTATATGTTAAATAGAGTATCTTTATGACACCTGGTTATTATACCTACTATCTTCTACATTATACTCGATGCAGGCCTTTTTGGCTATTTAAAACTTCTTTATAGAACTGTCATTTCCTGCCATTTCTGCTGCCGTCGTGGCCACATCTTTCTCAAAAAAGACAATTTAACTCCTATTTTATGTTACCAGGAAATGGACTGGGATGCTCTTCTGGCCAAGAAGGTGAAGCCTCCCTTCCTGCCAGCCATTAGAGCTCCACAGGATGTCAGTAACTTTGATGAAGAATTCACTCGTCTCAAACCAGTCCTTACACTCCCGCGGACACCCTGCGTCCTCACTGCTGAGCAACAGGAAATCTTTGCAGACTTTGATTTCTCTTTCATTAGCTGACCACGGCGATTCAAGCTCTTATTCAACACGGCTCTTCTGGCTCAACAAAAGAGCAGAAGATGAAAAAACTATAGATATCCTCCAGATATTTCTTCCCGAGCAAGATCTGCTTAGCTGGGTCTGATTTCATTGTGCGGGAGTTACTTTTAACACTTTGCCAAAATCATTTTTGTACTTTTTTGTCATTTTTCGTTATTTACAGAATATTTACACTGCAATGTTTCTGAAGAGTAGCACTGTCTAACCTGTAAATATGTGAAGTCTCACTGAAGGTAAAATGCACTGAATGTACTTTTCTATTGTTTTGTTATTCTCTCTTTGTTAAATGCTTAAAATGGTCAAAATTCTCACTTCTGTTGATATTGACCTGTTAATGTCTAGAAATTTTAAATAACAAATGTGCCCATTTAGACAAAACCAGCCTATATGTAAAGTGTAAATTATGTGAAGGTAAACATGAATAAATGTATAAATGCTGGACTTTAACCAGAAAGCTCCTCATGAAACATTTATTGAGTTTTATAGTACTTCCAGTATTTACAGCATTTAAAAAACACTGCATGACAATATTGTATATAATTGAAAACTACACCACAGACTGTAAATGTTAATTTGTTAAAAAAAAAAAAAAAATCAAAAAAAAAGCTGAGATCTTACTGATAATGGCTCCGTCCAAGCAGAAGGACTCAGCATTTTGCACGGGATTAAACACAAACATTTATTGCTGTCTTACAAGGTTACTATTGCACAAGGAAAAGCTTAAATGGAAACATATTGCACTCAAACCTTTTAGCTAATAACCAGTGTTCCACTGTATCATTCAAGTCCCTGTTAAAATAGTTTTACAAAAATCTAAAGACATTTTCTGCTCCAAAATAGTTTAAAAAATATGTACAATTTTAAACAACTTGAGACACTGTAACAGGTCTAAATATCATGTACATGTATGGAATAATTGCCAGGAACAATACAGTTCATATTTCAAACACACTCGCTTGGACTAACCTACTTTAGTGACAAAAGCTGCTGGAGAAGGTGAATCCTGTAAAACGGGCAAAGTATTCATCACACGAGACAACAAGAGAATGGAATCCACTACCCTAAAGTAAATCCTGTGAGTGAATCAAGAAACCATGCCAGCTATAGATCTGTATTGTTACTCACATTTTGAATGTAATGATTGATGTGAATTGAGGGTGAACAGTCAGGTTATTGTCAACAAACATCATCACTTGTTATTTAAATGATTTTGTGGAAGAGGCAGGACTGAGGGTATTTGGGTGAGTAAAGTCCTAGCTTAACCGGATTCACTCGGGTGTGTAAAAT